TGAGATTAAAGTTGAGCCGTATGATATAATTCAGTCATTGGTGCTCTTAAAAGATCAAATTCTATTTGAGCTGTAATATTCTTTCAACTGAATTGTAATGTTTCATTTCAGATTTGTCTTGCAGGAACGGAATGTCTGGTAACAATGGTCATACGACACAGACAGCGTATTATATAAGTTCAGTTCAGTTCATGTACTTGAATATGTCCCTAAAGATATTCAAAGTATTTAAAGTCAGCGGTTCAATGTATCAAGAGGATACACACGAATACCTATTGATCTTGGTAACAATAATGTAATATTCCTACATCGAGTGAGTGAGTGAGTGAGTGAGTGAGGTCACTTTCAGCAGTATCATGCCGGGGAACAGCAGCAATGGGGTTCACATATTGTACCCAAGGGGGAATTGTAACCCTGTTTTCCTACCATTGAGTAGATGAAGGCTACGATGAAGAATGTATAAAACGTGAAGAAGATGCAGACGAAGAACACGAAGAAGGTTAGAAATAATTTCTCAATCTGTCCGATAGAAATTGACTATTTATATGCGACGAAATATTCATTGCTGGCATTCCATAGACCATCAACCACTATCAGGAAGGAAAACTAATGTTCTTTTATTTACAGATTAATGATGAAAAAAACTGATATAACAGTTTTTCTACCATCCTGTAGATGAGGGCGAAGACATAATACATCCTTGCAAGTATGTTATTCATAATAATTAGAGTTGACATCGTTTTCCAATTCTATCAAATACATTTATGGATATAATTGTGCTGTTGCCTTTTATGCCCAATAAAATCTGTTTCGACAGTCTTTTTTAGTTCACCCGATTACATTTATATTTTTTGCAGGTCGTGTTGTCCTTAATAATTTCAACGTCATCTTCGAACTGGTTGAAAGGATGAGCTTGCAACTTTAGTGGTATTTCTAGCACCACATTGCACATGACGTTGAAATAGAAAATAGTGTTTTTAATGAGTGAGTGAGTTATTGAGAACGGTTTTACGCCATGTTTAGCAGTATTCCAGCCATACCACGGCGGAGAACACCAGAAATGGACTTCACACATTGTACCCAAGTGGGGAATTTAACCGCTAGACAACCCCGCCGCTCCTTTTTAATAAATGAAATAATTTGAAATTGTGAAACGCCTTCTCAGAAACCACTCAGCCGAGAGAGATACTATAATGTGACTCAGGTTTGTCCTTTGCCTGAAATGTAAAAATGAAACTAATTGGTCTGACACATGGCTCTTATTTACAATCTGCCATCAACTTCACAGTCGCGTGGCTCTAATTGGGCATGAAGCTGAAACTTCATATGCTAAAGTCGCTCGCACCAATGATCAAACTTTAATTTTTTCAAGAATGACCAGATTTCAAATGTACTCGCTACAACATCCATATTGAAAAATGTATACCGCATTCGACGTAATAAGCGCCCAGGGCGCTCTCAAAATTATAAATGGGGGCTCTTATTGGAATATTATTTTGGTGAAAAAAAAACAGAGTTGAAAGATAAATCTCGTGGTTCATGCTGACAGCCTGAAATGTTGATGTACGACAGATTATTTTTTCAAAATTTAATTGCCCATAATAAAGGATGCATATAACACACGAGTGCGTATTATACGCGAATAAATCAATCTTGCGTACATTGATCAATTGCTAATTGGAATTGGTATTGTTCACTAGCCAATATTATATGCAAATGTCGCCGTGGGCGCTTATAAGAACCGGACGCTTATTACGTCGAATATGATATATTGATCGATAAGTGACATATAGTGTCTAAAATTAAATTTACATAACGAAAAGTCAAACACTGAAGCCGATAGAAAGTCAGTTCTTAACATGAAAAACGCTTCTAAAGTCGTGTGAGACCACCTTCAGCATGGATAGAAGCAAACACAACATGGCCGCTGATGACGTACCGTTAAAAAACGGGTACGTAAGTGCAACGTTCGGAGGTATGGGTCATCACGTTGACTTGTGACGCGTGATCTACCAGTAAGCGTAGGTCAGAAATCCGACCTGTCTGTGTAACCCGACTGATGAAGTTGCCAACTGTAGCTCTGGAACAGCCAAAGGTTCTTACAAAATGGGCTGTAGTGAGTCGTGCTATTCTTTTGGCGTTGATTTTACTCAAATAGGACCTACATGATAAGCCTGGGACATTATGTTGAGTTAAAATGTGTTTGGTTGATTGTGTATGCATGTGATTGCGTTATAATATTTATGAGGTTGGATTTCCTTAACAGAAGATCATGTGTAAAGTTTCTTTTGGACTTGAGAACAGGTAGGAACAGGATATTGTGTCGGTCGCTGTTTCAAACTGATTGAAAGGGGGGATCAAACAATGCTATTTGATCAAATGCTATGTTATGTAGCCTAAGGGAGTGTCAGTAACATAATCAACTTAGGACCAATAACAGAATTACAGATAAGCAGCGTATTTACGTAAAGTACCCTCCTCTCCCCCCACCCCCAAACAATACACACAAAAACCACATAAACAACAAATATTCAAAACCCAATTACTTACAATAAACTTGCGTACTAAAAAAGAAATTAAATTAAATGAAAAAATCAAATGAATAAAATAAGCACGCGTAAATACCCATTGAAGCTTTTTCAGCATGCACACAAAGGAGCTAATTTCAGAAACACGATTACGAGCTAATTTACTTTCCGAATCGATCCTGTATATTTAGAACCGTTATGTACATCAAAAACAAAATTTGTGTAAATCTTAAAATATTCACTCATTTTGGAAAAAAACACAATAGAATGATGAATAGATGAGTGAAAAAATATTGGTCACTCAATGAAAAATGTAATAACCCAATTCAAATAGAAACCTTCGAGTTAAAACTCGATTGCTCAAAAAGTTATCTGGAGCTCTGAATAACTAATGTCATGTCATATATTGAATGTACCACAAAGAACGGGTACTTCCCTTTTACCAACGGATTGTTATAATGCACCATTTTACAATGTTAGATATCTAGTCAATGCAAATGTGACACTGCTGTCCCCAATGGTTTCTTTGTGTTCACACTGTAATTAATAGAAGCAGGATTTGATATTTTTGCGATGTATATAATAAGAGTTTGTCGGCTATATTCCCAGCATACCGCGGTACTCTGTAGATAATCAGGCAACTCATTGTTTGGTAACATGATCGACGTAACTTGGTAACCGTTACACCATCTCAGACACTGATTTTGCTTCATGTTTATTGCCAAAATGCACATGAAGAATCCAGGTGTACGTAGGCAATGAAAACTGATCCCGGCATTAGTGAGTAAGTAAGTGAGTTGGGTTTAACGCCGCTTTTAACATTATTCCAGTTATATCACGGCGTGTCAGCTTAATGTGGGAGGAAAGCCCGAAGTGATGCAGGTCTCAGACGTTTACCACTTCGGTGAAACCCATGAGCACGGGTATGGTGCTGACAAACCTAGAAACATAATCGGGGCGAACCGGGATTCGAACCCACAATCATAGGTTTCTGGCGTGCCCAAGGGACGTAGATCCGGTCATGAAGAAAGAGAGAACATGGAAACAGGAAATCTTTCAATATCATTTATTCATTAATGTATTTCTATATGTTCCAAAGCAGCACATACTGACCAAAGAGAGAAACACATATATACATTTCGTAAGTTGTTAGGGGCGGTCGGGTAGCCTAGTGGTTAAAGCGTTCGCTCGTCACGCCCAAGACCCGGGTTCGATTCCCGACATGGATACAATGTGTGAAGCCCATTTCTGGTGTCCCCCGCCGTGATAATACTGGAATATTGCTAAATATGAGTTATGTGAATTTTTAAGTTTTTCTTATTGGGAGGAGCAGAGACTTATATAGAAAGAGCCCTGCGTTTGGTGGCCGAAACAATCATATAATATATTACTCAAAGGGGCAAAGATATCGGAGAAATTATGTTCAGTAATTTTCACTGACCATCATACATTTTGCTTCACGCTGATAGGTTAGTTCACGGAAATTGTTTCGCGATTGTTTTCGTTGTTTTGGAGGCAACTTGACGTCATATGAACGCATTGTTTCAAATAAATGAAGATGGCAATATCTGTTGTTCAGTACGTCAGAGACAGTTTAACTGACGTCGTTCCACCAACAGATTACCCGTATTGATTTACCTGACGTGTTCAGATGCGAGACATTCTTCTACTTTTAATCACGATCGAGATCAAAATCAAGATCGTCGTCAGCCTTGAACATCAATGCATCCAGTCCTTATATACAGCGTCTGCTTATTTATGGCAGTATTATTTGTTTGTTTGACCATACATTATATGTTTGACCAATAGAGCTTGAAACGTGGTACTTTCATTGAATAAAAGCACTCCATAGAAGATGACAACTAGTAGTAGATAGGTACAATTAAGTTGTTGTTGTTGGTTTGTTGTTTAAGGCCGCACGCAGCAATGTTCCAGCTATATGATGGCGGTCTGTAAAATAATCGAGTCTGGGCCAGACAATCCAGTGATTGACATCATGAGCATCGATCCACGCAATTGGGATCGATGACATGTATCAACCAAGTCAGCGAGCCTGACCACCCGATCCCGTTAGTCGCCTTTTACGACAAGCAAAGTCGCCTTTTACGGCAAGCATGGGTTGCTGAAGACCTATTCTACCCCGGAATCTTCACGGGTCTGTGGCAGTATTAACTGGCTTCACTGGCGTCAGTTCTCCTTAATATATTCGTTACAAATCCCTGTTGCCGGTTTACAGGACCACAGGCAATCTATTATGGAAGAGATCCAAATTGATGGATCTCCTCCCCCCACGCGGAGGATAAGATAATAGGTTAGGTGTGGGCTTCACATATTGTACCAAATTGGGAATCGAACTAGGCAACCCCATCGCCTACTGGGCCTATTATGACAGCGGGTTACCAGACCCTCGTATCGTATGTCGATGACTGTGTGGATTCATTCCAACTGGTGGTCACAAGCATTCACGGTTGGTTTCATAGCCAATATATTCTGTCTTTGAAACATTTATACATGTACGTGTTTATCAGCAGGAAAGATAAACGGTGCGGTTGTTCAGCGGTTGGGCTGGTCTGTCGTTTGTGTCGACCGAAAGTGGTTCGCCGTCGGCAACTGGAACAGCCCTCAGCACGCGGATCTAAGGAAGAAACGATATACAGGATTAGGATCATTCTGGTCTTCAATGATGCTTCAATACAACACGACGGAAAGTAATTACAACGATGCAATCTACATATTTCGAGTGATGGCGCGTTCAGTAGCTTAAAGCTAGATTACATTTACAGACTAATTCATTCCTGTTTCATTTGATACCTACAAATATTATTTGAAACCTCTGATTGTCCAATCAGTCAGTATAGAAAGATATAACTTATATATTTATCAAATACGTACGGATACCAAGTATCATGATTTCCTGTGGGCGATTTGTACGAAATATGATTTCACCCTGAAACAACGTATGCCGCAAGTTCTTACCCTATCCTCTGTGGTGAGAACAGGCAAAACCATAAGAACCCATCGGACAGACTCCGAACAGGGCGGGGTGGTAAGCGAACCCTTGTACGTGTAGTAATCGTCATCAAGCAGCAGCAGCTCGCTGGGGTCCAGAGTCACATTCTCAGCTTCACCTATACCATAGCAACAAAACTACCATACAATACTGAGGAAGATCAGTCTTTATCATCAGTCATTTCTAAAAGACTGTCACATACTATCGTTATACTTCATTAATTAATTATCTACTTTTCATCAATATGTATAGAACAGGATTGTTTGTTGTTTCAAATATACATACAGGTGATCCCCGAAAGCATGTCTGTTTTCATAGTTAATAAAAAAAACACACCAATTAAGGCATGCATACGGAAGTGTCACTTGTAAGAGACCTGGTGAAACATAAATTCAGAAAATAATAACTCATAATCACGCAGGGGACTCAATTTGAAACACAGATACAACGAATCAACATCTCGAGACCGAACTGTTTGTCAGTTAATTTATATCTGTCTACATGTACTGACATAATGTATTGTAAATAAATAATAAAAATGAAATAAATAATGAATGTGAACTAAATAAAAGATAAGATATCACTCATTTTAGTGCCTTTACAATGTTCATGTATTGTTACATATAAGATCTCTGTAAATATGATGCCTTAACATTCAAAATAAATTCAAGAATAAGTACATCAATAATACTTCACAAATTTGTATACACTACGAATATAAACCCAGGAAGTATTGACGATCAAATAATTATTGTATAGTATAAAGTTTAAAACGACCAAGCAGGTAGCCATTTATTGCTTCATTGGCGCTTTTACATTTGCATGCATCATTTATATTATTCAGAAACATTTCGCAAACACCTAGTGTCATCACTGATTTTCAGGGATCCATTCATATTACTTTCACCCCTATTTTGCCCAATGGAATCTGTTTCGTCTGATAATCGAGACTGGTGATTCTCGCTTGAACTTGTCAGTAATTAAGCAATATACTTTTTCCACTTATAAAGGTATTGCTCACATTCATTATTCTGTAACAAGCTCATGTCATCGTCTTCAGCAACCCATGCTTGCCGTAAAAGGCGACTATGCCTGTCGTAAGAGGCGACTAACGGGATCGGGTGGTCAGGCTTGCTGACTTGGTCCATGGATGTCATCGTATCCAAATTGCGTGGATCGATGCTCATGATGTCAATCATTGGATTATCGGGTCCAGAATCGATTAGTTACAGATCGCCGTCATATAGCTGGAATATTGCTGAGCGCGGCGATAAACAACATACAAACTAACAAAACAATCTTGTCATCTTCACACGGTAATTCCTAACAACGTTTCAAACAACCCCCCCCCCCCCCCACCCCCAACCCACCTCACCCCCACCCCACCCCCCACCCACCCCCCGGACACAGCCAAAACTAAAGTTAAATGTGGGCGTGGCAGAAGATTATTCACTTACAGGACGTTTCAACCGTCGGGTGCAATTGATGACAGTTTCAAGGTTACAGAGTTTTATGTATGTTTTGAGTGGACATGTCGATATACTTACCGACTTTCAGATGCGCCACTCCATCCACGAACCTGTTGAAGGCATGATCCTGCGACTCACATGTCACCTAGGAAAGGTGAAGGAGGCCGTCGGTTATGAACGGTTACATTTTGGTTAACTGCTTCTCAACTGGTATAATCATTATTTAGAGAGAAAGTATCTATCCCAAGTGAATTGATTTAATTTTCTGGTGAGAGAGTTAATCCATCATTGTTTATTTTCTACTGAACGTGAAGCACATTTGTGGTGTCTCCGTCGTGATATTGGTGGAATATTTCTAAAAGCGGCGTAAAACCATTCTCACTCACTCACTCTATACTGAAATCCAAATTAACAACATTCTATTTAAGCACTTGTGGACGTGTCCACAAATTGGATCATCATCGGCAACTTATCTCCTGCATAAAGATGCCACATCTGTTACTACAGCTTCTAAAATGCCACTTAAAGGTATTCTGTTCTGCGGGTATTGCCGGTGTCAAGAAATATATTCGCCCCCAGAATAAAATCTCCCCCCGGCGAATTTATACCGGTACAGTTCCGCCCCTCTCGAAATAAACTCTCCCCCACCCTACGAAATATTATCTCCCCCCAGAATATTTCCTCCCCCGTTCGTTTTATAAATACTTGCCATGCAGTTCAATAGTTGCCAAACACTTCTGATAGAGACGATGTTGAGAATGTGGAGTGAATAGGGCTTTACTTTGAGCACTGTGTTTTCTTTTAACTACCGCAATATGAGACAATAAAGTGGTAAATAGGTAGATATAATACTAGTCGTTAGATATAAAGCTTTACCATTCATTGTACCATTTTAAACCATGTGAATGTTGTAATATCAGTCAATCAGGTGGGAAAACAGCCAAATCCTCGCTCTATAAAGGACTATGTCAAACATTATGCAAGTTGAAATGACCCCTGATACTTTATGAATACTTTATGACAGTTTATGGAGTCAAAATCAATGCTGATTATTCATAAACTTAATGCTTCGTACCATAGGCCCATGGCCTCTTCAGTGCTGAATAAAGATTGAAAATACATCAGTCAATCAAAGATGAAGGTAACTTTATACATCAGAGTTCTTGAGAATTAGTTCATGTTTTGTTCTTAGACTAACATTTCAACCATCGATTGTGTTCACATGTAGACTCAAACTGGTATGTTAAAAAATGTATACAGACAACAACAACTGTATTAGAAAGATAACTATTTAAAGAATATAGTACTTAAAGACATTGCAACAAACCGAATAATCAGGGGGGAGACTTTATACTGAGGGGGGCGCGAAATAAATCCGCCCGGGGGAGATTTTATTTCAGAACAGAGAACAGAACAGAGAATCTGTACCGGTATAAAATCCCGGGGGGGGGGGGGGGGGGGGAATTTGTACGGGGGAAAGTTTATACTGGGACACCGACACAGTTTTCTGTCTTGTAAAGATGAGGTCAATCTAGGTCGTCAACTACATGGCTGCAATTGCGTGGATCGATGCTCATGATGTCCAGTGGGCCGATAAGGACCTTTATCCTACCTCGTCCTTTAACATACGATTCAAGAAAGGCGGGGCAAATAACAGACTTAAACTACACAGATATATACCGCTTTTAGTTTATTAAGACTATTTTATAAATCCACTAACAAACAACATTAAGCCGATCTCTGCCTGCGCGGATCACCACTTCTACTTCCACTGCTGCGACCGTTGAACTCCACGAAAAAATTAAGGCAATCAGTTTCATTGTGTATTTACGAAATGCCCAGCTACATCAGAGTTACAATGGTACAATGATGGTGAGGTGAGGTGAAATTGGGTTAAACGTCGCGTCCAAGATTATTGCACTTATATGTGACATACATAGCCCCTTCATATTAGTTTAAAGAAACAGGTAATGAATTGATTGCTGGAACAAAATACAGGATAGGCTATTAAAGGCAGAGTTGGAAGGCACAGTTCGTCCATACCAACAAACTACATTTAACAGACAAATATTATATAAACAAATCATATAAACTTCATAATGTCAAGTTAAAATCCGGAGAAAATCATGTTAGGCCCGGTAACTTTCACACGCACTGGTGGATAGTTTTTCATGGCATCAGTCTTGTTTTCTGAGCTTATGTTAATAGTCTATATATTCAGACGACCAAGAGGTGAGGTGAAATGGGGTTTAACATCGCGTTAAAGATAATAGCACTCATATAGCGACGTGCATGCACGTGTGTGTGTGTAGCTGCTTGTACTAATCCGGACTAATGACGATTTTATAGTGCTAGCTCACTGAGATACCATGCGACAGATTAACATGAAAACCCGACAGTATACTGAATCTGTGCCGACCAGGTTTTAGCCCCTTAATGCCGAGCGCCAGACAGGGTAACAACATCATGCGACCAAGACGTTTTCTTGTTCAAGGGTGAGGTGAGGTGAAATGGGGTTTAACGTCGCGTCCAAGATTATTGCACTTATATAGCAACGTGCATGCACGTGTGTGTGGCTGCTTGTACTAGTCCGGACTGATGCCGATTTATAGTGCTAGCTCACTGAGATACCATGCAACATAAATACCCCATTAAGACACAGTATACTGACTCCGAGCCGACCAGTCCTTGTTTTAGTCACTTAATGCCGAGCGCCAGACAGGGTAACAACAAGTACCATCTTTTAACGTCTTTTGGTATGACGCGGTCGGGGATCGAACCCCGGACCTTCCGCTCTCCGGGCGGACGCTCTATCACTAGACCACGGAGGCGGTTGTTCAAGGGCAGCTTTAAAAGGCGAGAAAAGGGATCTGGAACCTCTTACCTCCAGGAACACTCCAACGACAGCCAAGCCGTCTTCCTTGTCGACAGCCGCCCCAACACTCCCATACTCCTTCTTGTAGTGAACCATATGCAACTACAACCGCAAGGAAGACGACGTTTTTTTAAGTTATAGCACACTAAATGAAGTAAAGCTACTGTAACCAAAAGAAATGTTATGTTTCTTTTTCGTTTGTTTCATGAAATAGTCATTCACTACAAGTTCCTCTCAATTGACGAAATATTCCGATTGGTAAATAATTTATTATAGCCATACCTCCCCATCGTAGTGTTTGCCGTCGACGAGATGTTCCGAGGGAGAGTGGAAGTGCATTGAGTCCAGGACGTACTCGCCGTCAGTGAAAGGCATGTCATCCGTCACGAGACGTTCATTTTTGAAGAAGGCAAGACTCGCGCCATGGCCTGCAATAAAAAACGAAAACATCAAAGAGATTAGTTTAAACCATTACACTAAAATATCTCGTTGACATCTACACAAGTGTCAGAAAACGAAAGAAATAGTTTTTTTCCAACATGACTGTGGTAAGATTGACACATACTTCCACTTTAAACAGCTCACCAGCAAATCGTTACCTGCATGTAAAGTATTTCCAAATATTAAGCGCAGAATATTTTGATACCGCCAATTTGCAGGAGGAAAAATGTTATTTTAATTTGTTTGTCATTTAACGCTGCACTGAGCTATATTCCAGCTATATGACAGCGGCCTGTAAATAATCGTGTCTGGGCCAGAACAATACAGTGATTATGATATTGTTGGCAACAATCCACGCCGCCAGCATACAATGACACGCAATCAACCATGTCTCCGAGCCTGAAAACCTGATCAATTTGATCGTCTAACATCCAGTCGTCTAAGGCGCCGCTATTCGCTGTGCAGAGTTGCGTCCCTTGGGCACGCCAGAAACCTATGATTGTGGGCTCGAATCCCGGTTTGCCTCGATTATGTTTCTAGGTTTGTCAGCACCATACCCGTGCTCGTGGGTTTCACCTAAGTGGTAAACATCTGAGACCTGCATCACTTCGGGTTTGTTTTCTTCCCACATTAAGCTGACCCGCTGTGATATAACTAAAATATTGTTAAAAGCGGCGTTAAACCCAACTCACTCACTCACTCTAACATTAACTCGGAATTCTAGCAGACATTTTGACCCAACAAAGGGTTCTTTGCACAAATATGTGGAAACTAAACACATCATATGCAATTCATCTCTGACTATTTTAATTGTAACGATCACCTGTAAGGGCCTTGGTATGGTGAGAGCATTTATGAACCACCGGGTCTGTATGATTTAAAAACTGAGCAAAACCGTTCGAAATCGTTTTTAAAGTTATAGCATAAATAAAGTATTATCATGGCTGATATTTGAACACGAGAAAGTCGTTGAGGAAAGCTTAGTATCTCAGATCTCACAAGTCACTGATTTGGCTAGTTGACTCACAGAAATATTCGTCATTTGTCACAATGAGTGAGTGAATATGGTTTTACGCCGCTTTTAGCAATATTCCAGCAATATCACGGCGGGGGACACAACAAATGGGCTTCACACGCTGTACCCATGTCGGGAATCGAACCCGGGTCTTCGGCGTGACGAGCGAACGCTTTAACCACTAGACTACCCGACGGCCCCTTTGTCACAATGACCAGAGGACATACACAGGTTTTGAAACACACAGCTATTGCTTTGGTATAACTATAAGTATCTTAGAGTTGTATAATTCATGGTTTATAGGAATTCTACCAGTAAATACCCTCAAACATTTAAATTCAAATTATACATCAGAATGCTTTTGAGTAGATTATTTATACTTTTGTACTGTAATACTTATACCGATGCATTATCCGACATTACGTAAGTGAATTATCTAGAAATTAACGTTTTGCAAAAGACCATAGTCTTAAGAATGTTACTATGCAAACCTAAGTTGATGAAAGGTCCAGGTGTTAGGTATTTGTAACCAATACTTGTAAATAAATTTAAAATATTACCATTCATTTTTAAATTCCCAGACACAGCTCCTTTTGGTTCATAGTCGATGCCGCCCAGAGGGTGACATGTCGCGTCGTCACTGTCGATGTCAATGGGAGACTGCTGGGACCCGTCACAGCAGCGGGTGTCGGTGTCCAGATCGTGCCAGTGAGAAGGATCTGGAACAAAATATTGGGTATTTCAGTTAAATGTCAACTGACTGTGGTAGGATCTTAGACGGGATGCAGATCTCAGACGTTTACATATTTGATGAATCCACGAGCGTGGAGGGATACAGTTCTGACAAACCAAGAACGAAATCATGGCGAATCAGGGATTCAATTTTTAGATAGGCATTGCTTTGAAGTTGACGGATGACAAAGTAGACACAATTTATGGATAACAACTTCTTTATTTACTGTAAAGGTGACCTTTCGGTATAGAGCCTTATACCGTTGTCAAGCAAGACTGAATATATATAGTACGTGGAGGATTAACAGTAGAGGATTAACAGGAGTAACAAATGCATACATGAGTGGGATAACATGAGTAAGTAATGACAACAGAAGGGTGATACTGTCACAACATGATGGACAGAGAACACATCTGGGATTCGATTCCAATATCACAGGTTTCTACCACGCCTAAAAGTAGCAGCTCTGCATGACGAACTGCGGATCCTGAAACGACTGGGCCACCCAGTAAGCTAAATATACTTTTGAGGTTACGAGAAAACCCAGCTGCTTGGTCAGTGCTGAATTTCAATAATAGGAATAAGCTGCATCTCAATTGATTCGGTCTGGAGAGATGTATATGCAAGTGCCACTAATAGCTTGTTCGTTATCGTACATTGTAGAGTTTACTTTAGATTCTTGTGTAATACTACTGAGAGCCTACTTCTGTTAATTGCCGGGCTCCTGGGCAAGGAGTTTATATAGGACCGATCCTCCAATAAGGGGTTGAAAATATCCCCCATCCCTACCCCCACCCCAAGAGAATATTAAATGGTCCGTTCCCTAGTACATTACTTTTAGGTAAACAATACTAGATATTTAGAATGAAAGTGGCTATAAACGTATTCAAATTCCTCTTTCAGTCTTGGAGAGTAGCGTCTGTCATCGATCCATTGCAAAAGGAGGAGACAACTCCTGTTTTGATACTGAAGTTCATGATCAACAGCAAAGGTGTACCAGTAAATACCCTGCTTCGATAAACAGAAACATTCGCTTTCTCATGCCACATTACATAACAACTATAAAATTAAGGATCAGCTATTTTATATTGCATTTATCACCAAAGGACGTCATGATATAACCGTTAGGTTTACTTGATCCTCTCATACTATATTATATATTGTAATTTCTACACATACTGTAGGCATACTTTAGTCTTCCCTGAAGAGGTAAAAACATAGGATTTCTTAATGATAAGAATCAAGGATTTCTTAATGGTAAGAATCAAGGATTTCTTAATGGTAAGAATCAAGGATTTCTCAATGGTAAGAATCAAGGATTTCTTAATGGTAAGAATCAGGGATTTCTTAATGATAAGAATCAAGGATTTTTTAATGGTAAGAATCAAGGATTTCTTAATGGTAAGAATCAAGGATTTCTTAATGGTAAGAATCAGTAGGCAACATCATTTTCCGAGCGGAAAGTCAACCAAAGGGGAAGAGTGACAAAAAATGATGCACAAGTCTGTATGACAAGAGGGGTTGCCGAGCAATATTCCTTCAGCTTCAAGCTTTGGTGTCTACATTTCTCAACTTTTGGAAAATGCTCTTTGTACGAAGATATCAAAGGGCGACATACGACTCTTGCTCAAACGATGTTTGATCAGGTTGACGCATTCAAGGTCTTAATAAAGCTTTCAGAAAGTTTTATGGTGGACATGTGAAAGACATCCAAATCTGACCTGACATTGACAAAATATATGTTCCCGTGTTTGGTTTCCTTTCAGGTGAAAGCGTTCGCTCGTCACGCCGAAGACCCGGGTTCGATTCCCGACATGGGTACAATGTGTGAAGCCCATTTCTGGTGTCCCCCGCCGTGCTATTGCTGGAATATTGCTAAAAGCGGCGTATAACCATACTCACTCACTCACTTTCAGGTGAACACTTGACTTGCCTTTGCATGTGTTTGTGACGGAACCACCGCTTGTGCAGGGTACGCTCACTTTTTCGCGAACACTTTCATCACAATTTAATCGTGATTCATAAATACATGCTTATGGATAGACGGAAAAGTATTAAGGTGAAAGCAGAGATTTCTTATGATTATGAATGAGTTTGTTCAGTTTTATTTGGACAGAACGAGTTCAATTAAAGGTAGAGGTCAGCTGGGGCAAAACATACCCATATTCATTTAGCAATGATTTTCAACAGCAACAAGTCAACCAAAATGTGGCTGAAACAATGAACTATTTGTAAGACCTTAAGCTTCAGTCACACAGACAATGCGACTGCGATGCAGCCTCCTGGCGACCAAAATATTTGACAATCACAATAAGGTTTCAGGGGTCTCTGAAAGGATTCACTGAGGTCGCTACAAGGTCTCGATCGACAACTAGTCACGGACCAGTCCCCGTTCAGTTGCAACAAGTCACCGAAGATTCGCTGACTGGTCATCGATCGGTCTCAACCAGTTGCAAACATTTCGGCGTACCTGCGGTGAACAGTTGCCGATCAATCACTGACAAGTTGCAAAACCTATCGCTGATTGATCTGCGATCATACCCTAATTCCAAATATGGGCAGAAGTAGTTGCACCGGTCTCATCGCGGTCGCATTTTGTGACTGAGGCTTTACGACTGTCGATAAATCTAACTCACCATCCCCCGAACCTTCATGGTAGCCGAAGTGTATATGGTGCTTCGGGATGGGACACAGAGCATCTTTGGCAGCCACGTAGACGTTGGCTGCAACAACCACGACAACAATCGAAATCAGCATCTTTCTTCGTCAGTATCTGCCGGATAGAATAGCATGGGGCGAGCATACCTTTAAATAGTAGGATGTTAGAAACTAATACCACTAATTCAACAGGTGGGTTTAAAACCCATGACTGCAGTTGCGTAGATTACAAAGATACTCAACCAATAAAATGTTAGTTTAATCAATAAAGCCGTTTTGATTGTATCTAACTCTTCGTGCAAAATTAACATAAACGTGTATGAACAATATTTGTAGATAATACATATGTAACATATTATAAGAGATCATATAAGAAAAGCGTCAAACATTTTGTGGAAGAAACTCGTTTCCTTTTAGTACGTAGTCCTTGTGATGACATGTTGTATGTTATTCCTTGAGTGAGTGAGTGTGGTTTAACGCCGATTTTAACAGTATTCCAGTTATATCACGGCGTGTCAGCTTAATGTGGGAGGAAAGCCCGAAGTGATGCAGGTCTCAGACGTTTACCATTTCGGTGAAACCCACGAGCACGGGTATGGTGCTGACAAAACTAGAAACATAATCGGGGCGAACCGGGATTCGAACCCACAATCATTAAGCTGACACGCCGTGATATAACTGGAATACTGTTAAACGCGGCATTAAAAATAACTCACTCACTCACTCACTTAACCACTCATAGGAGTGAGGGAATATTTTATTAACGACGCTTTTGACAATATTCCTGCAATGGACTGCATACTTTGCACCATGTTGGGTGAGAATCGAACCCGAGTCTTCCCCGGACGAGCAAACACTTTAACCACTTGGCCATCCCACCAGTCCCATGTCATAAAAGAAGAAAATCTCAACCATCCGTGGAGACGAAAGGAACCTCAGCTCTCTAACTATGTGGGGTGGTCGGGTAGTCTAGTGGTTAAAGCGTTCGCTCGTCACGCCGAAGACCCGGGTTCGATTCCCGACATGGGTTCCCATTGACATGAAGCCCATTTCTGGTGTCCCCCGCCGTGATATTGCTGGAATATTGCTAAAAGCGGCGTAAAATCAAACTCACTCACTGTAACTTTGTAATCTTAAGTCCGTGTTATCCTGGTGCAGCTAACTAAAATTTCATTAGTTTATTAAAAAAGTGAAAATGGAAATGTGAGCAGTTTGGAAAATGATTACAGGTTCCCGGCTGCACCAGACCTGCAAATGTCAAGTACAAAACCTGCTTCGCCTACGTTCATTATGTTGTTATCTGTCACCATATGGCAATCCATTTTGATGTGTTTCAACAAACTGATCTTTTATCAAACTTAATATGGGATCAGCAAAGTATTATTACGTACAGGTAGCCGGTTTATTACCCTATCATTTACTCAAATAAACTTACACTCGTGCACTCAAATTGTATACGCGAATATTGTGTCAATTGAAATGACATAGAAATGGTTTTCATGGACTGTGGGACGAAACGTATTCTCTATGGTTGAAGTTAGGAACACGTTTCAAAATTAAGCCCTTAGTGCCTTAACATTTAAGGGTTTTGTTTGGGATTATTATTATTATTATTATTATTATTATTATTATTATTATTATTATTATATAACGAATACCGGTTTTCACATTTTAAACCAATATTGAAATCTAATTAAAGCGTAACTTGTTATTCTGGCCAGGGGCCTAGATCCAGTTTAATTTAACTCTGTATTGAAAACCTATCCTTACTGCATTTACATTCAAATTATATTTTCTAGTTGTTAAATTCATACCATATCTTTTGGACATCGTTTCACGTTGGTAAAACTGTCCCTTTTCATTGAATAATTGTCTGATACGGATAATACCTGCATTCCATTCGTCATCATAAATACCTTTTCTATTCAATAATACGTTTTTGGTCTTCTGAATAATCCCATTGTATACAACAAAAAATGTTTTCCAGGCGAGACTTCCAAATGTTTATTTTTTTACATTCAATTTGGATATATCAGAATTACATAGTTTGATGTGTCGAACTTTTAGTTGTCTCGAAGTATAAGCTGCGTAGTCCTTTACTCATCATTTTTCGGCTTTGTCGAACTCGAATAACTCGAAGTAAGCATCACTTCAACTTCGACACAACGGTGTTTGACTGTATTATAATAACATTTCAACAAGAACCAGTCAAATATATACTGAACCAAATTAAAAACTTCACAATCCTAAAATTTTAACATTTTGACCAGTTATCATTGTGGGCCCTTATTGTGTATTTAAACAGCTATGGCCGCGTATTGTCTTCAGATAACACTCGTTTTTGTGCAGGTGAATCGATCAAAATCATGTGCACAGTACTATAGTGGCAAAAAGGTTTATCACGTGCAACTGGTCACGTGGCCATAATACCGCACGTGTTTTCAGCCATACTTGTTAGCAGTCATTAACAAATAAAGAAAAACACAAGAAAACAAAAGACTTTACGGCCATTTGTCATGCCACGCCTTTCAAATGTGCAACGTGAACGTGCCATCGGCATGTTGCAGACGGGAACGTCCGTAGCTGAAGTCGCAAGGACGATGGGTTGTAGTCGACGGACTGTTTATGATTTACACACGCGTCTACAGCAAACGAGTACCACCGCTGATCGCCCTCGGCCAGGTCGACCACGTGTGACGTCACATGCAGAGGGTCGTCAGATTGTCTTATGTCACCTCCGTAACAGATTTTTGATGGCTACATCAACCAGAAATGAACTGTTTAGGGGTAGACTGAGTGCGCAAACTTTTCGAAACCGTCTGAGAACTGCTCACCTTCAAGCACGACGGCCATACTGCGGGCCGATTCTGACTCAATTACACAGACGTCAACGTCAATTGTTGGCACAGCTACTATAGACTCAGAGGAATTTGAATCAAGTCGTCTTCAGTGATGAATCCCGGTTTAATGTTCGATTTGCTGATGGTAGGGCGAGGCTGTGGAGGCGCCGTCATGAACGTTACGCCCAGTGTTGTGTACAGGAAGTTGACAGATTTCGAGGCGGGAGTGTCATGGTGTGGGGTGCTTTTGTGTCGCAATGCACGTTCCAGGCTTCTTGTCATCCGTGGCAACCTCAACGCTGCTGCTTACCGCAACCAGGTACTGGCACCAGAACTTCTGCCTTTTATGGCAGCACATGGACCCGGTTTGATCTTCCAACACGACAATGCCAGACCCCACACATCAATTTTGACAAGGAATTTCCTTCAGAATGTGGGAGTCAACGTCATGGACTGGCCGTCAAGGTCTCCCGACCTCAATCCCATCGAATACATCTGGGATGCTCTTGGCAGAAGTCTGCGCACTCTCCAGAACCAACCACAGAATTTGCAAGATCTTTGCACCATTTTGCAGCAACAATGGCGTCGTCTTCCCAATCATGTGTTCACAAGCATCACAAGGTCCATGCGGAGGCGTTGTGTGGCAGTTGTCAACGCACATGGTGGCCATACACGCTACTGAACTTGTGTGCCATCAGATTCTCGTGCTTTGGACTTATGATTTAATCTGTTAATGTTATTACCGAATACCGTAGGTGCTTGGAACAAATTATGGTTACCACCGTTAAATTAAAATCCTTCTTTGGACAATAATGATTAAAAATTACCTTCTCTGATACATTTGTCCGGTGTATATCATATATGGGATTACTTTTAAAAATGTGAAGTTTTTAATTTGACTCAGTATACAACTTTTGGAGGGGGAATACGGGCGGAAAATGTACAAGTTTATGTATAGAGCTACTGTGAAAGAGACGGTGGAGTAGCGTTGTTGTTTTTGTATATATGAACATCCACGCTGTTATTAATTCATTGTGTGAATTAGTATTGTAAGAAATAGACTTTTAGTATTAGCATAGTAGTATCGTGATAGTAGTGTTATTAGTATTAGTAGATACTAGTATTGTTAGTAGAAAGACATTGGTAACAGTAGAAGTAGGCTAGGAGCACCGAAAATCGGACAATCGGACGAAGAGATTCGTCCATGGAACGCCATGCTGTCAAATTTCCGTTAACGATGACCAAGACAATGTGGGAAGCCCATTTCTGGTGTCCCCCGCGGTGATATTGCTGGGATATTGCTAAAAGCGTCGTGAAACCCCAACTCACTCACTCACTCATAACACCCCCTCCATCATACGGCACGACCTCCTGAATGCAACATTCCGCCTTTCATGTTCCCCCCCAATGGCGGTAAATATGCTGGCTGAATACCTCAGCAATGAACAGACACAACCGGCGTGAGTGAAGTCGTCCCTCTGCCAGTCACGTCGCTGCCAAAGACGTATAGTCCGAGTCCAACTCAATCTCTTACGACGATGTTGCGCTGTCAATAACTGTCCTATGTGAGGACTGTAAACTCTAATTCCTTGAGGCCTGAATTGCCTGGCGACTGTCTGTCTTCATTGGGCGTAGTTTCCCTGGGTCTGCCTGTTCTTGGCTTGACCGATGTCTTCCAGGTCTCTCTGTAACGTTGCATCAGGTTAGTCACAGCAACACCGGAGCAACCAAAGGTTCTAGCAATGTGGGCATGGGTGGCTCCCATCTGTATCATACCCAGGGCCCGTTCGCGTTGTTCGGGTGTCAGTCGTTGCATTTCTGTTGTGGTGTTTTATCAGTGTGAGTGTCTGACATACCGTCCGTATCATTTATATACTCTTATTACACGTTTAGTTTCGGCTGCCCAAGCAGAACATGTTTTTCACATTTTCGAATTTACTGAAGCAAAACGTGCCTATGCGTGTAACACTTTCTGTAAAGAGCAGTGTTGTGTTTGGACAATGTGTTTTGCATTGATTTAGTTTGAACTTATGTTTTTAAATGTTTGCAAGTTTTACTTTTAAAGTGGTTATGTTTCTTTTGGCCGTCAGTATATGTGAACCATACAGATGACGTTATGTGCCACCACGTTTACGTGTTTGATAGAATCGAAAAAGATAACAAATGTGAATACAATGAAACCTTTTCAAGTGCTCGTTCCCAAAGAAAATGTATTGAATACCCGGAGTACAAGACAAGCGGGATAGTGTCATTTGATTGGAAATCT